AAAGTCACACCAGAAGCATATATTACTTTATGGGATTCTCTGTAAAATAACCTATCCCTCTTTGAGGCATGATTTAAAGACAGAGCCCACAGGACATAAATCACAGCTTCTAAAAATACAAACCCCTTTAGGACATCACTCCTTAATGGCATCAAAATCTTCACAGGAAAAGACACCTGCCCCAGTGACAGGGAATAATCACCTTCTCCAGAGCATGTGTTGGATGCCTGCTGGAGTTAGCAGGTTCACAGTGCCAAGCTCTCCTTTGGAAGAGAAGACAAGTTTCAAAATGCAAACCAAAAACCCGTATTTCCTCAAAAAAAAAAAAAAAAAAAAAAGTAACTTTTGAAAAGGTTGAAGTGTATTATAAAGAAAAAGGTGCACAAAGGTCTCACCCAACTCCCTGGAAAAGGCTGCCCCGTTTTTGCACCCCAATTAGCAATGCAGTCAAGCCAGGACATGGGAACTGGCTGCTAACAGCCATCGTCACTTAGTGGCTTTACTTCCCCAAACTACTGGTAAGAGACAGATTCAGAGTTAATTTTATGGAAGAGGACCTTCTCCAAGTTCCTTTTGATAATGCACTAGGTCATCAGGTCTCTGAAGCAATAAACAATTTTGATTTAATGTTAATTTTCTTTCCCTTCCTACCAAAGTAACAATGCCATCATACTTAGGCCATTTTCTCTGGTCAACAAGACTTTCCAGCCACCATGGAAGATGTTAAAATGTTGATACAGTTTCATCCCAAATTAGAATATCTACAGTTTACTCTATTTTTTAAAATTGACACTTTATCAGGCTTTTGATGAGCTTATAACACATTGCTTCAAAGTCTTTCTTTCCTCATCCCATCCACACTCTACTTAACATTAGAATAATTTTACAGAGTATAATCCATGTGCATCCACAGGGCACAGAAACAGAACACTGAGCAGAAAGAGCACAATTTGAAAAAATCCCCACAGATTTTGTCAAACCAAGATCATCTTACCACAAAATGCCTGACACAATACCAAAACCAAGCAGAGTGTTACATATATTAGTATAAGAACTGGACAACATGCAACTCAAACCAGAGAACAGATCTGGCAGAAGCTTTCTCCTTCCCTCCAAACTGACCTGGCTCACCAGGGCTCTGCTCTGTCCAGGTATGACAAATATTCACCTTTCAGTCACCTTTCAGTCACCTGGCCTCCAACACTTCCAGGGATGGCTCATCCACAGCTTCTGAGGCCAGCATGTTCCAGTGCCTCAGCACCCTCACAGCTTCAAACTTCCCCTCCCCTTGCCCTTTACTGAAAGGCTTTCAATTCCAAAATAACGATCCAATTCTTAAAGAGAAAAAAAAATTACATTGTCCAGAAAAGAAAGCATCTCAGTTAGATGTGAAGGCAGATGCTCCCTGACTGAGGCTGGCCCAGGGCAGAAGCTTGTGCCTAGAGCCTGGCAGCTCTGACGATGAAAGGCAGAAAGGGAAGCTACTTGTAATACCTAGCTTGGACCATGAATGACATTCCTCTCCCTGCAAATTTCCCCACCCATTTGGCAAATGTTGCATTAGCAGATGTTCACGGACACTGCAAAGTAGGTGGCTTTTCCCATATGTTTTTTATGCTTTTGTGTGGTGCTTTTTTCTGTTTCTTCATTTTTGCAATTAAACTGCTTGACTTCAGAAGTTATTGGCACACAAAGAGCACCAGAGATAACAAAGCCCAAAACAACCACATGAGGTAAAAACAAACAAATAAATAAAACTTGTTGTATTTTGATTTCCCAGCTGGAAGTGAGAAGGATATTGGTAATGCTTATGAAAACATAAATAAAGATAAGAACAGTCATCCAAAAATGTGTGTCTCAGAAAAAATACCCTAAAGATACTACTAAAATATTCTGGATAATAGGGAACTGCCAGGTTTTACCCATGAGCAGCACTAATCCTGGCAATGTATCCTGCCCTCAGCCATCCCAGAGGATGCTCCTCCTGTGCACAGAGCCAATGCATGCACAAAACTTCCTTTGGAAATGGCAGCCTGGTCCCAGCAGCAGTGAAATTACCCTGTCAGCAGGGCTTCTTCACTTGGGTGCAGTATCTCACTGACAAAGCTCTCATGCTCCACAATCCCACTCTGGTCTGATTGTCATAGTTTCAGAAATCTCTGCAATATGCTCCTGGAAGGGGCTTGACATAAAGCAAATGGAATCAAGCCTTGGATGGGGAATTGTCCCAGAAAGCATCCATTCTAGACATTGTACAATCCTGAACCAGATGCTTCTCAAAAATGCTTTCCTAGTGGCACAATTCACCTAATTTCCCAGTCTCATTTAAGATCTCACACTTCTTACAAAGTCTAGAGAAGAAGGCAGATGCCTTTGTGATATGTCAGGGACTTTATTTGTCTTGTGGAAGCTTCCCTGCTGACTGCTGAATACTCACATGTATCCAAAAGTAGACCTTATCCCCTTTGATACAGGCTAAGAAGGGAAAAGAGGCCTCATGAGAAATAATTTCTTATGTGTGCCTTCCTCTCCTGCCAATATTCCAGCTACACTTGTCCCATTTTCCCTTGGACTAGGCAATAAAGACAACTGAAGTCTTCAACCTAACAACAGTGCCCTTATTTACTCACCATGATGCAAGAAAGGAATAAAAAGGAGGGAGAAAAGATGGGAGATGGTTGTTGGAACAACATCTGCTAGATCTAGGAACAGAGAGCATGTGCACAGAAATAAAGGCCAGATACTCATTTTCAACAACCAAATATGTAAGCATGGAAAAATCATCAGGATTTCACAAGTTAGGATTCTTCTGCACTTTTACACCTTGTTATTGTTACCTGACTAGGTGGTATCTCTGCAAGGAACAAGCCCAAGATGTGCCAGCATGGAGGTTAGGGACAAATGCTCTCTTTGCCTGCAGCAGGGCAGTCCAGCACCTGGCAGCAGCACAAGCACAGCTCAGAGTGTGTATGAGCACCCACCTAGGCTAGGGCTGGAGACAGCCTGAGTGACCTTTCCACAGAACTTCCCTTGCAAAATAAAATGTGGCAGCATCCTGGCTGGAAACTGCAGTGCCCGACACCCCTACTCAGATAACAGAGCACAGGTAACAGCTTGTCTCACCACCCTTCACCAAGGCCTGCAACAGACACAGTGCTTTTAAAGCACTTAGCACTGCCCCTCCAGACACCACTGCCACTCTAAAGCCCAGCACTCAGCTCAAGTTCACATAATTCCCTAAGAACTGTATCTAGCCTGCAGCAGAGAGCTACCAAAGAGAAATGTTCTTAGCCATTCCCTGCTCCCACGCTCCCTCCTCAAATTAAAAGGCTGTGGCAAACATGGAATACAAACAAATTCCCCGTGTTCAGTGGCACACACCACATTTCTGTCCATTATTAGATGTGACAAACACGAGAGGGGGCAGAGCAAAGGGCAGGACACTCAGCGATCTTGTCATACAAAACTTCTCAAACATGCTCAGAGCAGTGTGGGATTACTCAAGGCTTCCCATGCAGTGGGTCAGCAACAGCAGACGTGCAGCAAACAGCTTCCAGGGAAACCAAGAGAGAGCAAGAGGGAAAAAAAGCCCTGGACACATCCTTTCAGGCACCTGGCACACATCAGTGTGTCTTTCAGGAACTGTTCACCACTTTGGTCTCCTTAATATCACATCGTTACACTAAAACCAGCCCACTGAGAGAGATTTTGTCAGGTGCAGAAAGAGGTCAGGCTAATGACAAGAATTTGGGGACAGAAAAACCTTCAGAAAAAGTTCTCCCAATCTTTTCCATCACATGTTCAAGATAAGAAAACTCTGCTGGCACATCCCATTGACATCCTGCTCCCCAGGGCACACTGCAGAATGGTTTGTGTTGGGGCATTTCAGCCCTCAGAAGACAGAAAGCAATTCCTGAAGCACTGCACTGCATGCAGCATCCCCCTCTACCAAACTGCCTTTCCTAGAAATGCTGCCCCAGGCCTGGTGAGTACATGGAAATGAAGTTTCACCACTCAAGAGGGAGGGAAGGCAGGCTCTCACTACCCCAAGCACACATGGCTTCTCCAGACCCAGGTAAGCACCTCACACTGTGCTGATGTGCCATTGTTTTGTTTTTCAAGCATCTTCAGAGAGCAGCTTTCCCTTGTGGCAGCTCTCCTCCACAGGCTCTGTTCTCTTGCAGACAGAAGGCTGCTGCCTTTTTGATCCGGAGGCTGAGCTGAGGGGGTTAGGGGAGGGGGATGCAGTAGGAATTCCTCCACCCTAATGCTATTGGTTTGCTTCTCAAGATGCTCAGCAGCACTGCACGGGATATCCTCTGTAGCAGAGGCTCTCTTTAAGATGATATCCTCACTTTCTTGTGTGGCCTTTATTCCCCTGTTTGCTTTCCTCGGAGGGTGAGAAGGCTGAAACCGATCCCGGAGCATCCCTGCCCCCAGGGCTGTTTTGTCCCGGCTCGCACATCAGCATCTCCATCCTCACAACTTTAACTTATGGAAACAGGTCAAACCACAAAAACTCACACCTACAGCTGGGCTGTATATAGATATCCAAGCAGACAGAAGCCACACCGAGCAATGAGTGGGAGGAAGTGGCCAGAGATGTTTGCAGACATTATTGCCTCTTTTAGACACCAAGCAGTGATCTAAATAGATCCAACAAATGCAGCTGAAGATCTGTGTGGCTTTACATGGGAATTTTGTGGTCATCAAAGCTTCAGATTACCATTTCAAGGGGAAAGCAAAGTAATTATTATAGTTTGTTACTAATTTGCAAACAGCCAATTTCCCACCATACATATTAAGAGTATCCTGAAGACTTGCACAGCCTCGAGAGGAATAAAAATCATATTATAGTAATAATACGGGCAAATTACATGTAAAACTGAGAGAAAATTATGTTTTCAAACACTGCATTAAAACCTATCAGGAATCAGCCTCCCACCCAGCCAAATGTCAGGAGGGAAGAAAAGACTAATTCAGCCCCATTTTATACCCACGTGAGCCAAAAGGATGCTGAATGAAAAGACCTCCTTGTACCAGCAGCACTGCACACTCCTGCAGTTCATCCCAAGTCTTGCAGCAGCTGGAGCTTCCAGGAAGCCTCAGAACCTGCAGGCACGTGACTCACCCAAATCTAGGCTCTGTACAAAAAAAGAACATGTACCATAAAAATAAGTTTCCAATTCGCAGTTGCAAATAAAACCTTGAAATAGGCAACACAGTTGGACCTAAAAGCTCGTAAACATGACAACACATGCAAAAAAAAAAAAAAATTAAAAATAAAAAACCCCATCCTCATGAATTTTCTGAGTTATAACTCATGAATTTTGAGCACTTAAGGCTGGCAAATGTATACAAACACCTTGTAAAGATGCACAGCACGTAGGTCTCAGAACTCCCACGTCAGAGATACCACTTGGACTCAAATAACCAGAAAGTGGCTCCTTTTCAGCATCCACCCTTGCACAAGTCATTGCCAACCCGTTAAGTGCTGCTGTTGGCAGTGCAGGCTCTGGTACAGGTCCCTGGTTGAGCTATTCCCAGCAGGCATGGCATCCCAGCCCTTTCCCTGGAGAAGGAAAAGAACCAGCCATTCACATAAGAACACAGGGCTTTACCAGGGAGCACCACTGGGAAAGCCCAACTGCACTCAGCAATACCACATTCCTGAGTTTTTCAAAATGCAGCCACCTTGGGGGACACCCAGATTCCTCCTCAAGTTTGATGAATAAGAGGAAGAGATGATAAAGGTCTGTTTTACACAGAGTTTCTGTTCCTAGCCTAGACTCTGTGTTTTCTAACAAAATCCCTTTTTGTGCTTTCCCCCTGCTGCCACTCCTGCAAGGAAGAGCTTCCAACAGCCATCCCTGAAGTGCTTCATTGTTTGTCTTCAAGCCAGCCTTCAAAGCCGCCTGAGCCAGCATGCAAACAAACACCTTCCAGCACCTAAACAGCACCTTTCCTGAGAGACATCCACAGACCAGCCCCTTATCAGTCCCTCACACAGCCCCATCTGCAAGCCCTTGTCTTGGGCTCCCCTTGGAAGTGGTCTGAGGATAAAACCATTTTGTTTTGTTCTAATGCATTCCCTGACACCCTGGAGCACAACTAAAGCTCTTTGGCCTCACAAAGCAAGTACCAAATTCTAAGAAAATGAACCCATTAAGAGTTAACCTGAATGTGTGTAGATCCCCTGCATGTGTTATTAATAGGAACTGAGAAACTCTCTTGATTTCTTCTGTTTTCACAGACACATTTTAGTTCCCCGACTGATCTATAACATGACTTCATAGAATCATAAAATGCTTTATGTTGGAAGGAACTTTAAAGGTCATCTCATTCCAACCCCCTGCCAAGGGCAGGGACACCTTCCACTATCCCAGTTGTTTAGAGCTCCATCCAACCTGGCCTTGGCTGGGCAATCTGTCCCTCACAGGGAAGACTTTTTTCCAAAATTCCATCTTACCAGCCCTCTGGCAGCTGGAAGCCATTTCCTCTTGCCCCGTCACTTCTGAAAAGTCCCTCTCCAGCTCTTTCGTAGCCACTTTAGGCACTGGAAGAGGCTCCAGGAGACCCTGGAGCCTTCTTTTCTCCAGGTTCAACAATCCCAACTCTCTCAGGAGCTGGGACACATTACCATGACCTTTCTAAAAGAAAAGAAAGAAAATAAATCTGAAATCACAAAAATAAACCATCTGAGCCAAATACTATACACAAGTGAACTCCCCTGATACAGCTGGTTATTTATATTGATTTGTCTGCAGGAGTAGGACATGGCTGCAAGAAAATCCACATTTTATTTTGTCACCTCCCATGGAAAATTTTGCTTGCAGGGCCCTTAGTTCATTATTCCCCTAACCACTTATGAGACCTAGCCCACCTCTCAACAGATTCATCTTCAGTCTTACAGAACTCTGTTAACTCCTCAGTGAACAATTCAGCCACCTGTGAAGCAGGGACAGTACCTTGGTCATGGCTGTTAGGAAGGTAAATTCATCTCCATTTGGGATATATTATTTAAGGATAAAACAAAAAAAAAAAAAAAAAAAAAAAAAAAAAACAGGGGAAAAATGCCACTGACCTCCTCCCTGGTTTTTTTATTCTCTTTTTAAGTGGTGGCAGGAAGATCTCAAAGTTTGTAAGAGTGATTAGAACTATGATGGTATACAGAACTAATAATGATGAGCAGTTTAAAACATATCCTATTCCTTCAGCTCAGAAAAAAATTATTATGACAAAAAAAAAAAATACAGCAAAGTGAAAAAATGTCATCATTGAAATAAACCATGAAGATCCCAACATGGCAAGAAGCATACATTTGGAGATATCATTTATCCCCTAAAGCTAAGGCTACTGTATAATAAAGTTAAATTGCTTGCAATTCTTCCAAAAGACAACCTGTTTCTTGGAGGTATCATAACAGTTTGGGATCCTGCAGTTGCTATGGCAACTACTGCTGCATCCAACAACAAAGTATTGTGTGTAGTCACATAAATCTGCTTAAGTTATATCTGCCCCGAATTTCCAAAACTACACCAAGTTATGCACCCTTAAAAATAAAGGAACATAAACTGAAGAAACAAATTTCAACACTGAACACCAGTGCACAGAAAGCACCTTCTCCATAAACACTGCCTTTCAGGGCACAGTCATCATGTACCTTTGCGAGGATTCTTATGTCAGATTCTTGTGAACCATTGGCAAATACATGTATTTATTCAAATAAACCAAAGTGTCTTAGGATGACGTCTCAGGACAAGAACACAAATGCATGACCTCTGTGCATGTTTTGACATTAGTCTGGTAACACAATAGGCTTTCCCTCTGGCATTTGGTATGCACTTGCTGAAAAAAAAAAAAAGCTTTAATAAAAAATAAAATGCCCTGAGATGTACCACTTTATCATTGTAGATCTTTCATCTCCTACCTCCGAGAACCACAACCTTCCAGGGAAAGCAGACTTTATTATTGTAGCCCAACCACACAGCAAACACGGTGCTTATGCCATGTAAATAATCTCACCAGTGCCAAGGCCCTCCATTTCCTTTTCCAGCCCATTGCTTTTCATAAAGGGCTTCCTGCAGGAACACAGATTATTTGCAGTTCGTTTGCATACTATGGGAGAAGCTCTAACACACTTCTTAAGTGCTTCATTTGCTCCAGTTGCTCGCTTTATCTCAGCAGGGATAGCCAGCATATGAGCCAAAGTCTTTCCCAGATGAGAGGTATCTGCCAGCAACCAGCTGACACTTTCTTCAGTTTAAAAGATTACCTGTTTTTTTGTGGTAATACCTAAGCACAGATCTACTCCAAAAAGACAGCAGCAGAAAACCAAACCATTTCTCAAAGGCAAAACAATAGAGATCACTCGGGAGTGAAGCTTGGAGACTGAAACAAGAATCACAATCTCTGCAATGCTACTGAGATTTGAACATTTAGTTCATTAAATCAGGGAAAGCCAACTCATCATTTCTGATTTCCCCACAAAATTCCTTTTATGTTTTGCAGTTAAGAGAAGCCGCATCATTCACCACAGGGGTTTCTAACAGCCTAAAACCATCTGTACTAAAACAGCCTGGACACGCTGGAGTCCCAGAGTCCCAGGCAGTGACACTGCAGACTTGAGGAAGGAGGACTTGTGGTCTCAGTGGTGACAGCACCTACTGCTCCTGCTTACAGGCCCAGAGGAGAGAGCAGAGCTTCCCCTGCCACCTCCCACCCGGATGCACAGCCACGTGGCAAAGTGCTCACAAACACACTTGTGTACGAAAGCAAGCGCTCTGTAGTTCTCAGATTTGAATTAAATGGCTTCACAATTTATGGAAGAGCAAGAGAACCCTTCTTGAGTATATATGACTGTTGGAGTTTATGTTTTTTGGAGTGGGTGTCTCCTTTCTGCACTGGGATTTTAGCTGTAGGAGCTGAAGGAGAATAGTGGAACTGTACTGAAGACACCTCTTCCCAGTTAACCAGCAGCCCAGGGAACAGACCAGTGAAGCCAGCGGCGAGCCCTGCCCTCCTGAAGGCACAGCTCCCTGGCACAGCCTGAGGCAGCGCTGCAGTGCTCCCTCTGACACACACAATGGAGAGGAGCTTCACCTTTTACTGCTCTTCCACTGCCAGCACACAACGAGATCAAAGACTGGGGTTTATTTTTACATTTTTATTACTTTTCCCACCCCTTTGCTACTACGCCGGCGGCATTTCCCACCCCCAGCACTGAGCCCTGGCTGACCCCACAGGGATGCTTATGCCCAGGAGGGCAGAGATACAGTTGCTATGGCAACACTACCTCCAAATTTTCTGGCCTCCATGCATGTAAGATATTAACCTTATCATTAATTGCCAGATGAATTTCAGGGTGGCACACAGAAAATGACTTTTAAGTAGATTTGCAGAGTAGTCATTCTGACAGGCAGCATTTCTGCACATCAGGGCTCTTCTCCTCATTACCCCACCACTTGACCCACAGTGCAGAGAAAGGTCCTTTCTCCCTCCACCAGCCAAAATCCTCACAGGAGTCTCTGCGAAAGCCTCCTGCTTTCCTCTGCCTCACAATCCCATCCAAAGCAGGGACCACCCTTCTCTGTGGCCAGCTGGAGGCACCATGCAGGGACAGGGTAGGCCCACACTGTCACCCCAATCCAGCCAGGACAAGCCTCTCACAGGATCACATCCTGCAGGAAATAAATCCCACCACACACAGGGCCTGCCCTGCTTAGCCCAAGAGTGCTTCCCCAAAAATCTGTTATTGCAGAGAGCTCTCACAACAGGCTGGCAAAGTAATAAACCAAATTCTTCTTCCTGCATAAGGATGCCATGGAAGGAGAGCTGTGACCTGTCCCCTTCAGCTCCTCACAAAGCAATATAAAACCAGCCTCAGCAGCACCTCACCCCCTCCCACCAAAGCCACTGGTCAGAGCTACTGCCCAAAACCACTACGAGAGCAAACAAACCACACACCTCCTGTTGATCCTAAACCTCCTGGAGCATGTGACCTCACCAAAAACTTCTTGTTTTCAACATTCCTCAGTATAGAACTTCAGAGATTAAACACCTACCCAGACCCCAGGGAGCACTGTGCAGAATTCCTTGGGCTTGTGGACTATAAAACCTGAAAATTGATTTTGCTGGCTCTGTAATTTTCTTGACCATTTCCAGGAGTGAGAATCAACCACTTACCTTTTCTTTTTTTACTTCAGCCACTTATTATGAGCACATGGGGGAAGGAGAGAAGTGGGAGGAATCTATTTTATTTCTCGGCCACTTAAACTTGTTTATTCTAGAAAATAGTATCCAAACACATTTTCCAAGAAAACAGCATGACACTACCTGCTATCAGCAGCAGGTATGGAGAGCTCTCTTCTCAGGAACTTTCCATGGGCTCGCAGAAAGACCAGCATCTACCAGGAAAGGAACCTGAACCAATATGAAAACAAGAATATGTAAGTTTATTCACAGTTACAATGACCAGTAAGTCCTCGCTGAACCATTTAAGTCTGCAAGGTTAATGCAGTATTACATAAAAAGCATTTACATTCATTACTTCAGTGTATTCCATGTATTGTTGTATGCATAAAAATCCACATGTTCAACCAAAAAGACCATTCAGGAAACAGAATTCACAGACAAGACTGGGAATTCTCTATAAAAAATAAACATCTCAAGTGTGTTGAAGGTAGACAGGCCACACCAGCTTAAAATGTCCAGGTTCAAAGGTGACTCTCAAGAGCTCTCTCTGGGCACTGCCAGTTTTATTCTGAAGGAAACAGAGGACCAAATGGCAGAAGATACAGTGTGTAAGCTGGTTAATGTGGCTGCCTCTGTTCCCATGTTTGTCTGCCATCACAGTAGACATTTCCTACTTCTGGGTGTTCTGGACAATAAATATTTACAGGAAGGTCATTGGAACATGGCAAATCCTGACAGAAGGGCTGCGTATCACCCCACAGGGGGATGGACCTAGCAGTACATGGGATGTGCAAGATGCCCTGAGAGGCAAGGATGAATTCCCAGAGCTCTGGCTGTCTCTCGAGCTCATTTGTCCAGCCTGCTGCTGTGCCCTGGCGTGGCAGCCTCTGTGCTGCCTGCACACAGAGCCAGCAGCTCTGCCATGCTGCCACACACAGCCTGTGCTGGCCCTTGGCTCCTCAGCCCGGCTCAGGAAGCCACCTGAGCACGACCAAGTGGAAGCAGCTCACTCTCCAGAAGGGAGCACAGGAGGGAGGGAGGGAAAGCGCCGGCATGTCCAAGGGCTTCCCTTCCACGGGTCCCTGCTGAGGCAGACAGGATTCAGCAGATCCCCAGCAGGACTGGGGCCCTTCCTCCCACAAATCTCCACAGTCAAAATGTTCTAAACCCTTTGTCTCACGTCTCTCTCACCCTTTGCCCCGTGCAGACACATGATCATAATCCTCTTTCTCTACCACCCTCCTTGTACATCAGTCTCCTCTTCCATCACAAACCTGTTCCAAGAATTGTCCTTCCTAAAACCCACGTGGCCCACAGGGAGAATGCTCTGGAGCTGACCCCAGAAAAAACCTGGGGCAATGAACATAGCTCTGCCTCCTTGCAGGGGCTACAGTTGTGATGTGTACTCTTTCTTTGTGGATATACCCACTAACCTGTTTGCCGTTTTACACAGCCATATAATAACCACCGCAAGGATTTTTCTACAATATCCTCTAAATCCTCTCACATCTGCCTCCTGCTGAAATACTGCCTGTCCATGCAGAGACACACACTTCCTCTGTCCTGTCCTACTGCTGTAGTCACTTGGACACACAGACTTCAGTTACCTGCAAAAATAGAGAAACAGGCACTCAGTCCTGTTTTAAATAATGAAATATAGATTGCCCAAAACCCCCACGTTTGAATGACAGTCTGAACAGTACTCCTTTCTCAGCCAGCCACTGCTTCCTCATCTGTAAAATGGAGCAATGGCACTTCCTGCATCTGAGCGACAGTGTTTGCAAACATTAAGAAACGACTCTGCAAAAGCCAAAAGGGAGTACTCTATTTGCATGCAAATTAATGTAAAAAATTAATCCTCACGTGGTTCCAAAAACACGATGCATACAAATATATTACTGCAAGCCTAAGAAATTTAACTTTAGAAATGTAGCCAGCTGTTTTCTACACTGACTGGGGGGAGGTGAGGAGAATCTGACAATGCACCTTCCTTTATTTAACTGTTAACTCTTTATTCTAAATCTAATATTGATCCTTAATTTTCTATCAGCGTTTTGACTGCAAGAGAGCAGGGGACGAGCAGGAGTGGCAAAGACAATCCATTTATTTCATCCTTTCTTCACTCCTGGGGTCAGCTACTCCCTCTCTGAATCAGTGCTAGACCTGCTTGAATAGCTGAGAATGAACCTTCCACAAAGTGTGGATTTACTTTTACTAAATCCTCTAAGTATTAAAGCTCTTCACACCATTTGGTCTTGAAGTGATGCAAGAGTGAGGTGTGGACACCAGTGACAATAAAGCACCATCTGGCAAAGTGAACTCCAGGCAAACAATGACAAGCACAAGTGAAAAGAATTGCAATGATTTCCACAAACATGTGAAATACTATAAACTGTGTGACTTAGCAGCTTCCTCCTCCTCACAAGTAAATAAACATGTCTGCAGAAGGCTGTTTGGTTCTGCCTTTTATATGAGCTGAGAATACACAGAGACGACCCTATTTGCATTCTGCTGTTAAAAAAATATATGCAGATTTGTGAGCAAGGGGGGGAAAAGGGCAAGAAAGAAAGAAAAAATAAGAACTAACCAGAATAAGAACTAACCAGACTTCACTTTTTCTTGGTTCTTTACTGTCAGGGTGATGTACTGGAAGTCTTTATTTCTTTCAGCTTGGGCCCCTCAGTAGTTCATTCTCCTTCCAGCCTGTTCTCATGCCTTTCTTATCACCTGCTGAGGCCTTGATCATGGACAGAGCAGACAAGCAGCAGGGGACAATTAGAGAGGAGTTCAGACTTTGATCATTTGACCATATGTGAATACAACAGCTGACCACATGTTTTAAAAGACAACTAACTTAAAAGTATTAAAAAAATCACAAAGCAGGCATAGATACTTAAATTTACATTTTAATTATCTGGCACAATGGTGCATTCAACTTTGCAGAATATTGAATTTTTCTTCCTAAATGTACACATTTCCAAAAGGAAAATCAGCACTTTAGTGCTTCTCTGGAGCCTAAATAAGCACAGTATCATTAAAATAAGTACTTGGATGATTTAAAACATAAACAAACATATCTATCTAGTAACCTGCATTTTGTACTGACAAATAAATTCACAAATAATTTCTGTCCTGACGACAGCCCAATTTAAATAGAATAACACTGTATTACTTTACCTCTAAAAATATCATGTATTTAATAGTACACAGACATATGCCCTGCACTACTTACACAAGTGATTTTTTTCCCAGAACCTCTCTGTTAGCCTTTAAAACTTAATACAGAAATACAACACGATTTAAAAGCTCAGCTGTTGTAGGGATTTGGTTCTTATTGCTCAGCTGCCTGTTTTTTCTTTAAATTTTTTTTTTAAATCTTAATTTACTCAATTGTTCAATCTTTGCTAAATCTTTAAATTATCAAAGCAAAAGGTCCAGTTGCGAGCAGTTTAACCGCAGTCACCTGACCCCAAATACTTGGAAAATCACTGTTGGAAATTTCTGTATACAATAGAAGAGGTATCATCATTTGTGAAGATACAACATCCACTTATCTTCCGCACCGACCAGATAATTAACATATTCATGAAATGGCTATTTACTCTCAAATAGGAGGATAATAGAAAAATAACACTAATTGTTTTGGCAGCAGTTTGTTTAGGAGTTATCTGAGGCAACAAATGGCTCTTTTGTAGTTGTGAAAAGGCAGAAATCCTCCTTTCTGTAAACACTTCTGTCTTCAGCTCTCCTTCCTCCCCAAAATTTGGATACTACCGAGGAAAAACTGTGGAATCAGTGAAAGGAGAAGGAGGATTTAAAAATTAAATGGTAGTTAGTTTTCTTTGGATAGCAATTGTTTGCATATTTTTATTATAATGGAAACCACAGAGTACAACAGCATTCTGGAAAATGTTTTGCAGCGTACAAGAAGGGCTGTACCACATGCTGACTGAACAAAACAATGGTACTAATGGGCCATGAAGGGTGTGTACAAAATATTTGAAGAGGCTCAGGCTATTCCAACACACAGGCTTATTTTTGCTTCTCTGACTGGACCATAAAATGCCTTCTTGTTGGCCCAAGGTCCAAGGAAACCTCTCCAGTCCTGGAAGCTTATCAAAAGGAAAAAATAATCAGTGTGGGTTTTGTCTGCAGCCACTGGACCTTTCTTGCTTGCAATATTGGAAGACATTAAAGCTAATCAAATATGAATTATCAGCAAATTTGCCACTTGGTTTTCAGCCTGAGGCTAAGAGGTGAGCAGCTGAGGGTTTCTGGGCTTTCCCAGGTTACCCTGCAGAGAATTTGGAGTTGTTTTTAAAGCCAAAGTTCACCTCCTCAGCACCATACAATAGCTTCAGCCCTCCAAAGCAATTGTTCTCACTGAGAATCTTCCTGCACCTAAGGGCTCTCTGTAATAAAATATGGATGCAGTATTAATTAAATATAGATGCAATTTCCTCCTCCTTTCTCTCCTTAGCTGCTATCACGAGCACTAGTGAGGCGCCTAAGGAAAGCCCTGCTAACGGGAGCAGCTGCCACGCTAATTGGGCACCGTGCTCCATGGCCGGGCAGGCCAGCGAACAGCCCCGACTCCCCTCGCCTGCTCCAGCTCCGACATCTCCCCTCGCCTGCTCCAGCCCCGACATCTCCCCTCGCCTGCTCCAGCCCCGACATCTCCCCTCGCCTGCTCCAGCCCCGACTCCCCTCGCCTGCTCCAGCCCCGACATCTCCCCTCGCCTGCTCCAGCCCCGAC